ATATATGTGTGTGTGTATGAATGCTGTTGATCAAAGGAAAAATAATCTCTTTGTTTTAACTCTCTTATTTGAACCAAATAAAAAATTATTTGAAATTGAAATAAAATGTAAAATGTATTACCTTTCCAAAGTTTACAAATTATTTTTCATTTTTGAAATGACCAAATATACTTAAATAATTGATATGTTTTTAGCATTTAGAATGGGAAAATTAAATTTATTAACAATATTGAACAGTTAAAATTATCTATTACATTTTATTGTCACTTGGGAAGTCAAATAAAAAATAAATAATGGTATCTAACTCTAATTAAAAATCTTTGTGTTTAAACATGGCACACATGAAAAATAAAATTCAAATTTTTGTAAGAACAACCACAATAATGAACTAAAAATTTACAAACATTTAATTTGCAATGCTATATCAATAATTTTAAAAATGGTTGTATTTTATTAATTGTTAGTTTTTAAATTCAAAATTAATTTATTTATATTTGTTACTATTTATTTTCCCAAAAGGAGACCTAAGCAGCGTTTGGTAGACAAGAATTATTTTCATACTGGAATCATGATTGTTGTAAATTATAACTAATTTTAATTTTGAATTTTCAAAAACTAACAATTAACCAAAATAACCATTTTTTAAAATTATTGTTAAAACATTATTAATTAAAGCTGTGTAAATTTTTAGTCAATTTTTGTGGTTGTTTTTGTAGAGACTGAAAATTTGTTTTTCATGTGAGTGATGCTTAAACATGAAGTTTTCATTAGAGTTAGATATTGTTACGTTTTTTATTTATTTTAATTTTTCAAGTGGAAGAAAAATAAAGTAAATAATTTAAATCAAATATTGTTGATGAATTTAATTTTTTTTTAAGGTAAAACGGGTTAATAGAAAGATAATATATAAACTTTAGAAAGATAACACATTTAACATTTTTGTTAATTTTCAAATATCCTTTCATTTGGTTCAATTTTTATATAATTAAAAAAATAAAAGATCACTCGTTTCTTGTTTATTTTAACTCTCTTAATTGAACCAAATAAAAATTATTTGAAATTGAACAAATATATAAAATGGACTACCTTTCCATAGTTTACAAATTAACTTTTATTTAAAATAAATTATCGATTTTACTTAAATAATTAATATACTTTTAAATTTTTAAATGGAAAAATTTAAGTTCATTAACAATATTGTGTAGTTAATAATTATCTACTCTATTTTATCGCCACTTGGGAAGTTAAATAAAAGAATGAAAAATAATAGTATCTAACCCTAATTAAAAATATTTGTTTGAACATTACACACATGAAAAATAAAATTGAAGTTTCTATTGGAATAACCATGACAATGATCTAGAAATTTACAAAGTTTTAGTTAGCAACGCTATGTCAATAATTTTAAAAATTGTTGTAGTTTGTTAATTGTTAGTTTTTTAAATTCAAAATACAATTTATTTATATTTGTTACTATTTATATTTGTAGAGACTCGAATTTCATTTTTTTATGTGAATGATGTTTAAACATTAATTTTTTATTAGAGTTAGACATTGTTATTTTTCATTTTTTTTATTTTACTCTGCAAGTGACAAAAAAACAGAGTAAACAATTTAAATCAAATATTATTAGTGAACTTACTTTTTTTAAAGTAAAACTGAGCAATTGAAAATTAGTTTATAAACTTTAGAAAGATAACATTTTTAATATTTTTGTTCAACTTCAAATAATTATTTATCTAGTTCAATTTTTGTGTAATTAAAAAGTATATAAATTCTTACTCTCTTTCTCTTTGTTTTAACTCTCTTATTTGAACCAAATAAATAATTATTTAAAATTGAACAAAACTGTTAAATGTATTACCTTTCCAAAGTTTATAATTTATTTTTCAATTTTAAAAATGATCGATTTTACTTAAATAATTCATATATTTTTTTAAATTATTTACTCTATTTTTTCGTCACTTGAGAAGTTAAATAAAAAAAATAAAAAATAACAGTATCTAACTCTAATTAAAAATCTTGATTTGAACATCACACACCTGGGAAACGAAATTCAAGTTTCTATTGGAACAACCACATTAGTGAACTATAAATTTACAAAATTTTAATTACCAATGCTATATGAATAATTTAAAAAATGGTTGTGTACCAACCCGACCGAGTTGATGAGTTTAGCCAAAGATAGAAGATATTGACATCTCGAGCCAAATAACATATTGGTAACATTGGTATATCACATCGGTCAAATAGGTTCATGTCATCTAAAGACCCTATTAGCGAATATAAGGTACGGTTATAAGTCCATACCATAAAGATCGTAACACCCATAAAAAAAGATAATGTTATCTTTGAAAAGGTACGTGCGTTATAAATAAGACACATCTTCATCATCACATACTAACTTAAGCATCGGAGTCTTTTTTGCAGGTACTCTAACATCGGAAGAATCGAGTTAGCAATCAAAGGAGACTTTGAGATCTCACCCAGCATGGTCAACACCCATACTATTCCATGTGAGAACAGGTTGTATATTGATAATTGTTAGTTTTTTTAAAAATTCCAAATTAAATTTATTTATATTTGTCACTATATTTTATTTTGCTAAAAGGAAATCTAAGGAAGCATTTGGTAGATGAAAAGTTTTTTTGTACTCATAAATCATGATTCCTGAAAATTATAAATAAATAAATATAACTAATTTTTATTTTTGAATTTTTAAAGACTAATAATTAAAAAAAA